GCCAAAACCGAAACCGAACCCGAAAAGTCGGTTTTTAAAAATTTAAAACCCACACCGTCGGTTTTGATTCGGTTTCGGTTTCGTTGGTTTTTGTCGGTTTCTCGGTTTCTTGGTTTGGGTTTGCTCACCCCTATTAGGCAGTTATACATTATATATATAGCATATATATTTGATCCATAATCTTAGAGATTATGATCATACCTTTACTTAGATAGGTATACATCTCTAAAATAGTGGGATATTAGTTATTATAGTCGTATATAACCAACCTTAGGGTGAAACCATATGTAATTCTTTGTGTTGTCTTTGTGACCTCGTTCTCTTTGTGAGAACTCTTCTTTCTTAGTGAAAGCATCTTTATGATTATACGTGTTCTTCAGTTTTTTTATATAATCTTTGCTTTGTTTATTTTTTCTTTGTTATTCATACTTGAGTGTATCTGATTGATACAAACATTCACAAACTAAGTTTTGTCAAGGATAATTAGTTCAAACTAACTTAAAAGAGTGCTTAGTTATACCCACATATGTAGGAAATTAAAATTTTAAGTTGATTACGGGTATTGAAACCCTGTCTAGTTTCAAATTAAGACAAAAAGGGATGCTTGGTTCAGTTAAGTTTGGATATTGGGTAGCATCATATTAAGGGTGTGTATGATAGGAACGGAGAGTAGAACTCTGTTCTGTGATACTATAAGGTGTCGACATACAGATTACCTACCAAAGTACAATATATTATTCCTTTGAATAGCTATATACGGTGGGTTCGATCAGGCAACTGAAACAATATGTTTAGTCATCTCCCAAAGTAAGATGACAACACTTGATCATTCTATACGGTCTTGTGAATTACGTTGCTAGTGTAGACTTATAACCCATAGACATAGATTAAACGGGATACCATATTCATCAAATTTTTTGATAGCTTGAGTGCCTTTATGACTCACACTGGAAAAGGAATCCACTCGTTGTGTAGTAAAACCATTTCTCTAAACAATTCAACAGATGAGTTGATTTTTCCTGATAATCGTGGTCTAGGATTTGTGAGAATCGGTTGGGATGGGTATGTATCGGTGTAATGTTTTATTGATATCTTAGTTATGGATAAATCTATATTGTTTGATAACAGTTGGTTTTGCAGGTTTGATAATTATAAATTATTATCATAATAATATTGTGGGATTCAAAATACCTATGTGTCTCACCAGGTTTCCCAACCTGACCCACTCAAATTATATGCATCATAGGTAACTAGGCTAAAGCTGTTGGAACTTGATCAGGACGCTGAGTGATTAAAAAACAACTTACAATAGTGTTTAGGACCGTTAGGTCTTTACGATATAACTATGTTGTGTATTGATTATGATATCCTTAGAATTTTTGAAATAAACATCTGTACTAAAAAATGTTTTAATATATTGGGATTTTTTGCAAATAAATATGTTATGACTTTAAAGTGTAAAGAAAAGTTTTTTGGTTCTGAAAAATGGGGGATGTCACAGTTCTCTTTAAGCACTTATTTGGTATCGGTCTTAAAGCTTAAGAACAACTTAATACAAGTGAAGACTAACATGTTTTACTGGTTCTAATCTTGCTTTGGTGCATACATTCTAGAGAATTTCTATCTTGAAGTTTCATGAGAGCAAAATTGAACTTCCATTGAGAGAAAAATTGAACTTCATTACCCCTTTTATTTTCATGTAACAAATCATGGGCATTTCCAATATGTCACCATTTAACATTTTCTCAATCCATTTATATGTCACAATTGACCATAGATTTAAAGCTCTACAACAATTATGTTTAGTAATTAGTAACTTGATCTATAATGAATTTTTGTGGCTCATCTAAGTAGCCCACAATCTATAAGGGCAATGTGACTTTCCTTCAGTTTTACAACACATAATTAACAATCTACTTGCATCTTTTCTTCATACCACTATTTATAATCTTTAGCAACAACATAATTGGTAATCATTTGATTAAGTTCATAATGGTCATAGACTCTCCTACCGAAGATGGGTTCCATTGTGTCCCATTACCGGTTAGGATCATAAACATCAAAGTGAACTTCATTTTTGTGTCCATTATTTTTGTCATTAACCCCTCCTAATGGAATAACATTTGTCTGTGCCAAAAACAGATCTACATATTTCTTTAATGAAATACATTCATCATCAACTTCATGGTACAGTGATATGTCATCTAACATGATTGAGTCTACATCATCCTCACATGTATCACTCTTTGTGCCTCCTTCTTCAACCTTTTCTTCATTAATCCACTCCTTGATTAGCTCTTGATATTCATCAAGGTACACATAGATTTTACAATCATTATCATACCTAATATCAATAAATCTTACATAGTCATTATCATCTCTAACTTCTCCCAACCCATCTAACATGGCCCAATTTCCAACATAGTAATATACATCATTGCACATATCGCCATCTAATTTCTGAAGTTGTATGATGAACTCCTTGAACCCCATGCTTCTGAAATCGAGTATCATAACAGACTTTTTTCACATGACCGAAGTATACTAATGGATTATGAACAAAGGTTCCTTTAAGTAAACATTGATAGTGAGCATAACTTGTACCTTAAACATGTTTGGTGGTGTAAATCGAGCTTCACAATGAAGATCGATCGAACCTTAATTTCCCCACTTATCAAATTTCTTTGTGTAAAATTTTCGAACGTCCCCTGTGTTCCTAGTTTGCTTAGGTTAGAAATGAGGGTAATTCAACTTAATACCTGATTGTTTTTCGTGGTAATGTTTACATGCTAACCGGAATATACGGATGCTACAAGGTAAAATAAGAACAAAATGTGAATTTAGATGTATTTTACGTCTCTCTCACTGTAACTCTCACACCAAAATTACCCCTCACCCCTCCCCCTCCCACTTCTCTCTACATTACACCTCACTGACGAGCACTACCTCCTACATCATCTTCCTCAAGCAACCATCACCTCACCCCCACCCCACCTAGTTCCCTTTTAAACCAGATGAACCAGCTATATTCTCTTTCTCTCTGTATCTCTCAAACTCTCACATCTTATCTAATCAACCTCCAGTGACCATCACGTCAGGCGACCATAATCTCGCGTCATCATACTCCGACAACCATATTGCAACCCTCAATAATCTTATCTCTGATCTCAAAACAACCCTCAACCGTCACCTCGATTTAGGTTCAATCTACTATAGATGAACTCGATTTAGAAAAAGGAAATCGAAATCCAAACACAATGTTCCAGATATGCGATGGTGGAAATTTATTTAGGTTCGATATAGGGTTTCTAAAAAGCGGGTTCATAATCAGATCTGCAAACAATTTTAGATCTAAAACGATTTCATAGAGTTCTAGGTGTTTGAATTTTCGGGTTCGTGTTTAGAAACACGCACATACACTATCATCTTGTTCATATAGTGTTAACATTTTCTGCAGATTTGATTCAGCCAAACGATTTTTAAGACTTGTTCAAAAATTGTGTCAATATTATTGAATTTAGAACTTAATATATTTAAATGGTTTTTTGGGATTTGTTCAAACAATTATCAAAATGAGGTTGTGTGTGTGTGTGTGTGTTTTAGGTTCGATTTAAGCATCTTAATATTGATTTTGATATTAGGTTTTTTTAGCTAGTGATGGCGATTACCGGAGATGGTTGTCGGAGTTGGTCGGTGGTGTTGAAGCTCCAACAACTATTGGAGGACTGCTTCAATAGAGAGAAGAAGATGAAGAGAAATGATAAAAAAAAGGGTTGGACCTACTATTTAATAATTAAAATATTTACATAAATGAATTATGGGCAATATAAATTATTTAAAAATATAAAAATAAATTAATAAGGGCAATATTGTCATATCATATCGGTAGGGATCAAGCGTGCAACTTTTAAAATAACGATGGATGTTCTGAGTTAATTTTTAAAACAAGTACTAAACGTAGCTTTTAGCACTTGCACGAGGGACGAATCATATAATTTCTTCTAAACTTTAATAGTGTTTTTTGTATAAAATTGAAACGTAATTACATTTATAAGTCATTTTTAAATGCATTCTGGTGGAAACTATGAATGATAGGAGTTTAAAACGCAAGATTCTATATACAAAAAAACAAAATAAAAATAAAAATCTAACACCCTCACAAAAAGTTTTGCATGACCTTTATGTAAACTCAATAAATATCAACCGTAAACATGATTATATA